TCAAAAATTGACACCCTATTGTCAAAACTGAAAGAGCTAGAGGAGCAAGATCAAAAAAACTCAAAGTCTAGCAGAAGACAAGAAATAGCTAAGATCAGAGCAGAACTGAAGGAGATAGAGACACAAAAAAACCTTCAAAACATCAATAAATCCAGGAGCTGGGTTTTTGAAAAGATCAACAAAAGAGACAGACCACTAGCCAGATTAATAAAAAAGAAAGGAGAGAATAACCAAATTGATGCAATAAAAAACGATCAAGGGGATATCACCACAGATTCCACAGAAATTCAAACCATCATCAGAGATTATTACAAACAACTCTATGCACACCAACTAATAAACCTGGAAGAAATGGATAAATTCCTGGACACTTGCCCCCTCCCAAGACTAAACCAGGAAAAAGCCAAAACCCTGAACAGACCCATAAAAATGTCTGAAGTTTAGGCAGCAATTAAGAGCTTACCACCCAAAGAAAGACCAGGACCAGATGGGTTCACAGCTGACTTCTACCAGACATACAAAGAGGAGCAGGTACCATTCCTTCTGAAACTATTTCAAACAATAGAAAAAGAGGGAATTTTTCCCAAATCATTTTACGAGACCACAATCATCCTGATTACAAAACCCGGCAGAGACTCCGGGTTTTGGAATCCACAAGAAAAGAAAACTTCAGGCCAATATCCATGATGAACATAGATGCAAATATCTTCAATAAAATACTGACAAGCCGATTGCAACAGTACATCAAAAAGCTTATCCACCATGATCAAGTAGGCTTCATCCCGGGGAATGCCACACTGTGTTCAACATACACAAGTCTATAAATGTAATTCACCATATAAACAGAACCAAAGACAAAAACCATATGATTATCTCAATTGATGCAGAGAAGGCCTTTGACAAAATTCAACAGCCCTTTATGCTAAAAATCCTCAATAAACTAGGTATCGATGGAACATATCACAAAATAATAAAAAGTTATTGATGACAAACCAACAACCAATATCATGCTGAGTGGGCACAAACTGGAAACATTGCCTTGAAATGTGGCACCAGACAAGGATGCACTCTCTCACCACTGCTATTCAATATACTATTAGAAGTTCTAGCCAGAGCAATCAGGCAAGAAAAGGAAAAAAAGGGCATTCTAATAGGAAAGGAGGAAGTCAAATTGTCTCTATTTGCAGACGACATGATTGTATATCTAGAAGACCCCATCGTCTCAGCCCCAAATCTCCTGAAACTGATAAGCAAGTTCAGCAAAGTCTCAGGATACAAAATCAATGTGCAAGAATCACATGCATTCCTATACACAAACAACAGACTTAAAGAGAGCCAAATCAAGAGCAAACTTACATTCACAATTGCCACAAAGAGAATAAAATACCTAGGAATACAACTAACAAGGTATGTAAGGGACCTCTTCAAGGAGAACTACAAGCCACTGCTCAACGAAATCATAGAGGACACAAACAGATGGGCAAACATTCCATGTTCAGCGGTTAGGAAGAAACAATATCGTGAAAATGGCCATACTGCCCGAAGTAATTTACAAATTCAGTGCTATCCACATCAAGCTACCAATGACCTTCTTCGCAGAACTGGAAAAAAACACCATAAACTTCATATGGAATCAAAAGAGTGCCCGCATAGCCAAGTCAATTCTAAGCAAGAAGAACAAAGCAGGGGGAATCACACTACCGGACTTCAAACTATACTACAAGGCTACAGTAATCAAAACAGCATGGTACTGGTACCAAAACAGAGATATAGACCAATGGAACAGAACAGAGGTCTCGGGGGCAACACAACATATCTAAAACCATCTGACCTTTGACAAACCAGACAAAACCAAGCAATGGGGAAAGGATTCCCTGTTCAATAAATGGTGTTGGGAAAGCTGGCTAGCCATGTGCAGAAAGCAGAACCTGGACCCCTTCCTGACACCTCACACTGAAATTAACTCCAGATGGATTAAAGACTTAAACATAAGACCTAACACCATAAAAACCCTAGAAGAAAATCTAGGCAAAACCATTCAGGACATAGGTGCAGGCAAGGACTTCATGACCAAAACACCAAAAGCATTGACAACAAAAGCCAAAATAGACAAATGGGACCTAATCAAACTCCACAGCTTCTGCACAGCAAAGGAAACAATCATTAGCGTGAATCAGGAACCAACAGAATGGAAAAAATTTTTGCAGTTTACCCATCTGACAAAGGGCAGATATCCAGAATTTACAAAGAACTAAAACAGATTTACAAGAAGAAAACTAACAAGGCTATTCAAAAGTGGGCAAAGGATATGAACAGACACTTTACAAAAGAAGACATACATGAGGCCAACAAACATATGAAAAAATGCTCATCATCACTGGTCATCAGAGAAATGCAAATCAAAACTGCATTGAGATACCATCTCACGCCAGTTAGAATGGTGATCATTAAAAAATCTGGAGACAACAGATGCTGGAGAGCATGTGGAGAAACAGGAACACTTTTACACCGTTGGTGGGAGTGTAAATTGGTTCAACCATTGTGGAAGACAGTGTGGCGATTCCTCAAGGACCTAGAAATAGAAATTCCATTTGACCCAGCAATCCCATTACTGGGTATATATCCAAAGGATTACAAATTTTCCTAGTATAAGGACACGTGCACACGAATATTCATTGCAGCACTGTTTACAATACCAAAGACCTGGAACCAACCCAAATGCCCATCGACGATAGACTGGATAGGGAAAACGTGGCACATATACACCATGGAATATTATGCAGCCATCAAAAACAATGAGTTTGGGTCCTTCGTGGGGACATGGATGAATCTGAAAACCATCATTCTCAGCAAACTGACAGAAGAGCAGAGGATCAAACATCGCATGTTCTCACTCATAGGCGGGTGTTGAACAATAAGAATACATGGACACAGGGAGGGGAGTACTACACACTGGGGTCAGTTGGGGGGAAATAGAGGAGTGACGGTGGGGGGAGGGGAGCTGGGGATAGATAGCAAGGAGAGAAATGCCAGATGTAGGTGATGGGAAGGAGGGTAGCAAATCACACTGCAACGTGTGTACCTATGCAACAATTTTGCACGTTCTCCACATGTACCGCAAAACATGAAATGCAATAAGATAAACAAATGGGAAAAAAAAAGACTGCGTGTAAAACACAGGAGAAACGAATATTTCAAACTGCTCTGCTTTGTGGTCATTCACCTTACGAAGTTGCATCCATGGTTAGATTCAGCAAATTAGAAACACGTTTCTTTTAAAAGCTGCGTTTGGATATTCCAGAGTGAATGGGAGTATAGGCTGTAATGAGAAATATCTGACTCTAAAACAAAAACGGAGTTATCTAGCAGAATGGTTGTGCATGCGTACAATCAACTTTCAGAGTTAAACTGATGTGTGTGTGCAGCAGTTCAGAAACGCTTTCTTTGGAGAATCTAGAAACGGTTATTTCCAGCCATGTACAGTCATATAAGAATTAGCAGTAAGACTGCGTGTAAAACACAGGAGAAACGAATATTTCACACTGCTCTGCTTTGTGTTTGTTCACCTTAGGAAGTTGCATCCACAGTTACATTCAACGAGTTAGAAACACGTTTCTTCTAAAAGCTGCGTTTCGATATTCCAGAGTGAATTGGAGTATAGCATGTAATGAGAAATATCTGGCTCTAAAACAAAAAAGGAGCCATCTAGCAGAATGGTTGTCAAGGCCTAAAGTCAACTTTCAGAGTTAAACTGATGTGTGTGTGCAGCAGTTCAGAAACGCTTTCTTTGCAGAATCTAGAAAGAAATATTTCCAGCCATATACAGGCATATAAGCTTTAGCGGTATGATCACGTCTAAACCACAGGAGAAAAGTCTCTTTCAAACTGCTCTGCTGTGTGTTCGTTCACCTTAGGAATTTGCATCTATGTTTCAATTCAGCGACTTAAAAACACGTTTCTTCTAAAAGCTGCGTTTGGATATTCGTGAGTCAATAGAATTATAGGGTGTAATGAGAAATATCCGGCTCTAAAAAACGGAGCTATATAGCAGAATGATTGTAAAGGTGTATATTCAACTTACAGACTTAAACAGATGTGTGACTGTAGCAGTTCAGAAACTCTTTTTTTTTTCTCATTATACTTTTTTAATGGGTCTCAAAATTTTGTGACTAATGTTTGGTCATTTCCATTAAAAAGTACTGATTTTAAAAACTAATAACTTAAAACTGCCACAAGCAAAAAAGAAAACCAAAGTGGTCCACAAAACATTCTCCTTTCCTTCTGAAGGTTTTACGATGCATTGTTATCATTAACCAGTCTTTTACTACTAAACGTAAATGGCCAATTGAAACAATCAGTTCTCAGACCGTTCTTCCTCCACCACTGATTAAGACTGAAGTGGCAGGAGGTAGGGATAATATTCATTTAGCCTTCTGAGTTTCTGGTCAGACTTAGTGACCTTGCCAGCTTCAGCAGCCTTTTTGTCCACTGCTCTGATGACACCCACAGCAACCGTCTGTCTCATATCACGAACAGCAAAGCGACCGAGAGGTGGATAGTCTGAGAAGCTCTCAACACACATGGGCTTGCCAGGAACCATATCAACAATGGCAGCATCATCAGACTTCAAGAATTTAGGGCCATCTTCCAGCTTTTTACCAGAACGGCGGTCAGTCTTTTCCCTCAGCTCAGCAAACTTGCAGCTAATGTGAGCTGTGTGGCAATCTAGTACAGGGGCATAGCCAGCACTGATTTGGTCTGGATGGTTCAGGATAATCACCTGAGCAGTGAAGCCAGCTGCTTCCATTGGTGGGTCATTCTTGCTGTCACCAGCAACGTTGCCACAACGAACATCCTTGACAGACACATTCTTGACATTGAAGCCCATATTGTCCCCAGGAAGAGCTTCGCTCAAAGCTTCATGGTGCATTTCAACAGATTTCACTTCAGTTGTAACGGTGACTGGAGCAAAGGTGACCACCATACCAGCTTTGAGAACACCAGTCTCCACTCGGCCAACAGGAACAGTACCAATACCACCAATTTTATAGACATCCTGGAGAGGCAGGTGCAAGGGCTTGTCGGTTGGACGAGTTGGTGGTTAGATGCAGTCCAGAGCCCCAAGCAGCGTGGTTCCACTGGCGTTGCCATCCTTACGGGTGACTTTCCAACCCTTGAACCAAGGCATGTTAGCACTTGGTTCCAGCATGTTGTCACCATTCCAACCAGAAATTGGCACAAATGCTACTGTGTCGGGGTTGTAGCCGATTTTCTTAATGTAAGTGCTGACTTCCTGAACGATTTCCTCATATCTCTTCTGGCTGTAGGGTGGCTCAGTGGAATCCATTTTGTTAACACCAACAATTAGTTGTTTCACACCTAGTGTGTAAGCCAGGATGGTATGCTCTTGGGTCTGCCCGTTCTTGGAGATATCAGCTTCAAATTCACCAACACCAGCAGCGACAATCAGGACAGCACAGTCAACCTGAGATGTCCCTGTAATCATGTTTTTGATGAAGTCTCTGTGTCCTGTGGCATCAATGATAGTCACGTAGTACTTGCTGCTCTCGTATTTCCACAAGGGGATATCAATGGTGACACCACGTTCACGCTCGGCTTTCAGTTTATCCAAGATCCAGGCATACTTGAAGGAGCCCTTTTCCATCTCAGTAGCCTCCTTTTCAAATTTTTCAATGGCTCTTTTGTCGATGCCACCGTATTTGTAGATTAGATGGCCAGTAGTGGTGGACTTGCCCAAATCTAAATGTCCAATGACGACAATGTTGATATGAGCCTTTCCTTTCCATTTTGGTTTTTAGGGGTAGTTTTCACGACACCTATGTTCTGGCGGCAAACCCGTTGCGAAAAACAAGAAACGCTTTGTTTGGAGAATCTAGAAAGAGATATTTCCAGCCACATACAGGCACATAAGAACTAGCGGTAAGATTGCGTGTAAACCACAGGAGAAGCGTCTCTTTCAAACTCTTCTGCTGTGTGTTCGTTCAGCTTAGCAAGTTGCATCTATGTTTAGATTCAGTGAGTTAGAAACACGATTCTTTTAAAAGCTGTGATGGGATATTCCTGAGTGAATGGGAGTATAGGGTGTAAAGGAGAAATATCTGCCTCTAAAACAAAAATGGAGCTATCTAGCAGAATGATTGTCAAGGCGTATATTCAACTTACAGAGTTAAACAGATGTGTGAATGTAGCAGTTCAGAAACCCTTTCTTTACAGAATCTAAAAAGAGATATTTCCAGCCATATAGAGGAACATAAGAATTACCCGTAAGATCGCATCTAAAGCACAGGAGAAACGTCTCTTTCAAACTGCTCTGCCATGTGTACGTTCACCTTAGGAAGTTGAATCTATGTTTAGATTCAGCCACTTAGAAACACATTTCGGCTAAAAGCTGAGTTTGGATATTCCTGAGTGAATGGGAGTTTAGGGAGTAATGAGAAATATCTGGCTCTAAAACAAAAAAGGAGCTGTCAAGCAGAATGATTGTCAAGGTGTATATTCAACTTACAGAGTTAAACAGATGTGTCAATGTAACAGTTCTGAAACCCTTTCTTTGGAGAATCTAGAAAGAGATATTTCAGGCCATATACCGGCACATAAGAATTAGCAGCAAAATCGCATCTAAACCACAGGAGAAACGTCTCTTTCAAACTGCTCTGCTGTGTATTCGTTCACCTTAGAAAGTTGCATCTATGTTTAGATTCAGCAAGTTAGAAACACTTTTCTTCAAAAAGCTGCGTTTGCATAAACTTGAGTGAATGGGAGTATAGTGTGTAATGAGAAATATCGGGCTCTAAAACAAAAATGGAGCTATCTAGCAGAATAATTGTCGATATGTATATTCTACTTACTGAGTTAAACAGATGTGTGAATGTAGCCCTTCAGAAACCCTTTCTTTGGAGAATCTAGAAAGAGATATTTCCAGCCATATACAGGCACATAAGAATTAGCGGCAGGATCGCGTCTAAACCACAGGAGAAACGTCTCTTTCAAACTGCTCTGCTGTGTGTTCGTTCACCTTAGGATGTTGCATCTATGTTTATATTCCGCTAGTTTGAAACACGATTATTCTAAAAGCTGCGTTTGGATATTCCTGAGTGAATGGGAGTATTGTGTGTAAGGAGAAATATCTGGCTCTAAAACAAAAATGGAGCTATCTAGCAGAATGATTCTCAAGGTGTATATTCAACTTACAGAGTTAAACAGATGTGTGAATGTAGTAGTTCAGAAACCCCTTTTTTAGAGAATCTAGAAAGAGATATTTCCACCCATAAACAGGCACACAAGAATTAGCGGTATGCTAATGTCTAAACCACAGGAGAAACGTCTCTTTCAAAGTGCTCTGCTGTGTGTTCATTCTCCTTAGGAAGTTGCATCTATGTTTAGATTCAGCGAGTTAGAAACACGTTTCTTCTAAAAACTGCGTTTGGATATTCCTGAGTGAATGGGAGTATAGGGTGTAATGAGAGATATCTGGCTCTAAAAGAAAAACGGAGCTATCTAGCAGAATGATTGTCAAGGTGTATATTCAGCTTACAGAGCTAAACAGATGTGTGAATGTAGCAGTTCAGAAACGCTTTCTTTGGAGAATCTAGAAGGAGATATATCCAGCCATATACAGGCACATGTGAATTAGCGGTAAGATTGTGTCTGAACCACAGCAGAAACGTCTCCTTCAAATTGCTCTGCTGTGTGTTCGTTCACCTGAGGAAGTTGCATCTACATTTAGATTCAGCGAGTTAGAAACACGTTTCTTCTAAAAGCTGCGTTTGGATATTCCTGAGCGAATGGGAGTTTAGGTTGTAATGAGAAATATCTGGCTCTAAAACAACAACGAAGTTATCTAGCAGAATGATTGTCAAGGTGTATATTCAACTTACAGAGTTAAACAGGAGTGTGAATGCAGCAGTTCAGAAACGCTTTCTTTGGAGAAGCTAGAAAGAGATATTTCCAGCCATATACAGGAACATAAGAATTAGAGGCATCATCACATCTAAACCACAGTAGTAACTTTTCTTTCAAACTGTTCAGCTGTGTTCGTTCATCTTAGGAAGTTGCATCTATGTTTTGATTCAGCGAGTTAGATACACGTTTCTTCTAAAAGCTGCGTTTGGATATCCCTGAGTGAATATGAGTATAGTTTGTAAGGAGAAATATCTGGCTCTAAAACAAAAACGGAGCTATCTAGCAGAATGATTGTCAAGGTGTGTATTTAACTTACAGAGTTAAACAGATGTGTGAACGTAGCAGTTCAGAAACCCTTTTTTTTTTAGAGAATCTAGAAATAGATATTTCCAGTCATAAACAGGCACATAAGAATTTCCAGTAACATCGTGTCTAAACCACAGGAGAAACGTCTCTTTCAAACTGCTCTGCTGTGTGTTTGTTCTCCTTAGGAATTTGCATATATGTTTAGATTCAGCGAGTTAGAAACACGTTTCTTCTAAAAGCTGCATTTTCATATTCCTTAGTAAATGGGAGTATAGTGTGTAATGAGAAATATCTGGCTCTAAAACAAAAACGGAGATATCTAGCAGAATGATTGTCAAGGTATATATTCACCTTACAGAGCTAAACAGATGTGTGGATGTAGCAGTTCAGAAACCCTATCTTTGGAGAACATAGAAAGAGATATATATAGCCATATACAGGCACATAAGAATTAGAGGTAATATCGCGTCTGAACCACAGGGGAAACGTCTCTTTCAAACTGCTCTGCTGTGTGTTCGTTCTCCTTAGGAATTTGCATCTATGTTTAGATTCAGCGATTTAGAAACTCGTTTCTTCTAAAAGCTGAGTTTGGATATTCCTGAGTGAATGGGATAATAGTGTGTAATGAGAACTATCTGGCTCTAAAAGAAAAACGGAGCTATCTAGTAGAATGATTGTCAAGGTGTATATTCAAATTAGAGAGTTAAACATATGTGTTAATATAGCATTTCACAAACCGTTTCTTTGGAGTTCTAGAAAGAGATATTTCCAGCCATATACAGGCACATAAGAATTAGCTGTAAGATCGTGTCTAAACTACGGGAGAAACGTCTCTTTCAAACTTCTCTGCTGTGTGTTCGTTCACCTTAAGGAGTTGCATCTCTGTTTAGATTCAGCGAGTTAGAAACACGTTTCTTCTAAAAGCTGCGTTTAGATATCCCTTACTGAATGGGAGTGTAAAGTGTAATGATAAATATCTGCTCTAATAAAAAAAAGGAGCTATCTAGCAGAATGATTCTCAAGGCGTATATTCAACTTACAGATTTAAACAGAAGTGTGAATGTAGTAGTTCAGAAACCTTTTCTCTGGAGAATCTAGTAAGAGATATTTCTAGCCATATACAGGCACATAATAATAAGTGGTATGATTACGTCTAAACCACAGGAGAAACGTCTCTTTCAAACTGCTCTGCTGTGTGATCTTTCACCTTAGGAAGTTGCATCTATGTTTAGATTCAGAGACCTGGAAACACGTTTCTTCTAAAAGTTGCGTTCGGTTATTCCTGAGTAAATGCAATATATGGTGTAATGAGAAATACCTGGCTCTAAAACAAAAACTGAGCTATCTAGCACAATGATTGTCAAGGTGTTTATTCAACTTACAGAGTTAAAGAGATGTGTCAATGTAGCAGTTCAGGTACCCTTTCTTTGGAGAATCTAGAAAGAGATATTTCCAGCCATATACAGGCACTTAAGAATTAGCGGTAAGATCGCATCTAAACAACAGGAGAAACGTTTCTTTCAAATTGCTCTGCTGTGTCTTCGGTCACCTTAGGAAGTTGCTTCTATGATTAGATGCCACGAGTTAGAAACACGTTTCTTCTAAAAGCTGCGTTTAAATATTCATGAGTGAATGGGAGTATACAGTGTAATGAGAAATATCTGGCTTTAAAACCGAAAAGGAGCTATCTAGCAGAATGATTGTCAAGATGTATACTCAACTTACAGAGGTAAACAGATGTGTGAACGTAGCAGTTCAGAAACTCTTTGTTTGGAGAATCTAGAAAGATATATTAATAGCCATAGACAGGCACATAAGAATTAGCGGTAAGATCGCGTCTAAACCACAGGAGAAACGTCTCATTGAAACTGCTATGCTGTGTGTACGTTCACCTTAGGAAGTTACATCTATGTTTAGATTCAGCGAGTTAGAACTCGTTTCTTCGTAAAGCTACGTTTGGATATTCCTGAGTGAATGGGACTATAGGGTGTAATGAAAATTTTCTGGCTCTAAAACAAAAACGGAGCTATATAGCAGAATGATTGTCAAAGTGTATATTCAACTTACAGAGTTAAACAGATTTGTGAATGTAGCAGTTCAGAAACCCTTTCTTTGGAGAATCTAGGAAGAGATATTTTCAGCCATATACAGGCACATAATAATTAGCGGTAAGATCAGTCTAAACCACAGGAGAAACGTCTGTTTCAAACTGCTCTACTGTGTGTTCGTTCACCATAGGAAGTTGCAACTATGTTTAGATTCAGTGATGTATAAACACGTTTCTTCTACAAACTGCGTTTGGATATTCCTTAGTGAAAGAGAGTATATGGTGTAATAAGAAATATCTGGCTCTAAAAGAAAAATGGAACTATGTAGCAGAATGATTGTCAAGGTGTATATTCAACGTACAGAGTTAAACAGATGTGTGAATGTAGGAGTTCAGAAACCCTTTCTTTGGAGAATCCAGAAAGAGATACTTCTAGCCATATACAGGCACCTAAGAATTTGGGGTAAGATCGTGTCTAAACCACAGGAGAAACGTCTCTTTCAAACTGCTCTGCTGGGTGTTCATTCACC